ACTTGTGCCATTTTTAAATACCTATAAACTTTAACAAGATTTTAAATTTTTATTTCTGTCAACTAATATTGGTGAAAAATGAATTGCTTTTTTGTTTTTAGTAACAAAAAAAAGCAAGGACCATAAAAAAAATTTTAACCATTTTTTTATTGTATAATAAAGAGATTTAGGGTTTAAGCTTTTTTATTATTTATTATCAAATACATAGGTTCTAATAAACTTGCTTTTAATTGCTAGCAAAGGCTTAAAAAATCATATGCAACAAATTAGAGATTGGAACCGTTTAACCGTTTAAAAATTGGTCCATAATTCCGGGCAGAATTATGTTGGTAGTGGGCCGGAATTATCTTAGTGCTGGCCAAATTAAACAGTTAAACAGTTAAACGATTAAACGATTAAGAAAAATTTTAGGCGGTTCCAATCCCTACAACAAATTATAATCTTTTTTTGTTTAAGAGAAATAGAATAAAGACTTCAGTATTGAATCAACATAATAAGAACAAAGACATTCATTCAAGTAAAAAGATACTTATTGTAGTCCTAGTAATAAGCCGCAAAAGACCTAAAGTCTCCAAACTCGAACCAAATCTCTACCAATTCTGGATTTTAGGCCTTGTCAGATATTGGTTTAGTCTCATATTGCACAGGTCAAACTTCCACACCATGTCAGTACCTATCACTATGTTTTAATAAGGCCTTATCAGAAATGTGCATAGCACATTTTTTATCAAGATTTTAGATTTTTTTTATCTATCTTTGTGACAATATATTTTGCAATTGTATCACATTTATCAAATTCACCTTTTTTTATCTTTCAATGCAAGTAATTTGTATAAGAAAATTATTAGATCATAATGAAATCGGATTAAAATGAAATGAAGGGTTTCTATTTAACCCTCTAAAACCCACTTATACTTGTTTATTATAAAACCTGCTTCTAAACCCTAATCCTAGCCTAAAAAAATGCTAAAAAATGTATTCCAAAAACTTGTATTTTTCAGTGCCTTGTCTATTTTACATTATCCCTCATTTCATCATTATGTAATTGGCTAATTAATTATGTATTGTATTAATCAATGCGTAAAATAAATTTCAAAGTACCAAAAAACCTCACGAGGAGTTTGGTTGTAAGATTTATCCTACTATTTGATGAAATTATTAGTTCTTCAGGGTCAAAAGGATGCATGATTCAGATATAATGAAGAAGAATTTGAAATAATTTGGAGTTGGATAAATTGGAAATAAATTTAACTTTGATTTTGACAAATTTGCTAGGATTTTTGTGCAAACACGAGACTGTTAAATTGATATCGATATCGATATAGCTTAAAAAGAAGGGGTACCCCAAATTTGGTATTCGTACCCCCCACAGAAATTTAAAAAATTTTAAAACTTTGAACGAAGATATCTCGACAACCACCTGACTAAATTCAATGAATTTTTTTTATTTGAATTCTAGAGATCTGTAGAATTCAAATAAAAAAAAAATCATCAAATTTGGTCAGGTGGTTGTCGATATATCTTCGTTCAAAGTTTAAAAAAATTCAAAACATCTATCAAAACAAAGCTGCGAAACTTTGAGCGAAGATATCTCGACAACCACCTGACTAAATTCGATGAAAATTTTTTTATTTAATTACTAGAGATCTCTAGAATTAAAATAAAAAAATTTTCATCAAATTTAGTCAGGTGGTTGTCGAGATATCTTCGTTCAAAGTTTTAAAATATTTTAAATTTCTGTGAAGGGTACGATTACCAGCCCCCAAAAAGAATTAAAAATCTTTTTTAGCCATATCATATACTTAAAACTACAAATTTGCTGTAACCCAACGATATTATTTAGTTTCCTGTTTTATTTCAAAAATATAGAGGTGTGATCCGTAAACTATTAGTTAATATAAATAAACTGTAGTTTATTGTAAAACTGTAGTTTTAAAATAAACTACAGTTTATTTATATTTACTATAATTCAACAGTTCACATCTCTACAAAAATAAAAACATAAAATTCCATTATTATTCATACTAAAATAACCAATTATTAGTTTATTAAGTAAAATATTGAGAAGATATTTGTATGGCCTTACAATACATAATACAAAATATAAAGAATGATAAATAAACAACTAATGAATAGTGTTTTTAAATAAATTAAGTTGACATAAAATGCTTTTAGTATATGTCCAAAAATCAAAACCAAAAATACTTAAAGTTGAATTTGGTACCATTTTTGACTTTGACAGTAATTTTGACTGTTGATAAATTATACCTGTTTTCATAAATTCTGAGTCATTTTTATATTCTAATATAGGAGATCCAACCTCTTTAATTTCTAAAATTTTACATCTGAGATCATAATGTTTCGAAAGTATTATTTTAAAAATATTCTGTATGTTAATAAAATGCTTTGCTAAACAAAATATTAATGAAGCTTTCATTGTATCGGCATAATCTCGAGCTTATGCAACATAATATAAATATTTTTTTAAGAAAAAACATAATAAATGTGATGAAATCAGATTAAAATGAAAATTTTCTATTTTTTAAAGAAAATTTAAAATTCTTGGGAGATATTTTTTTAGCATTAGGGTTAGGGTTTAGGGTTTGAGCTATTAATAAAAGAGTATAAATAGATTTTATAAGCTTTAAGGTGAGCAAGAGAAGTCCCCTGTTTCATTTTAATCTGATTTCATTTAATCTGTGACAATAAATAACGATTTAAATATGAATCACCTTTTTTGTAATTTTATCCTGATCCTTTTGGAATTTTGAAAATAAATCATATTTTGTCCCAATGAGAAAATAAATTGCATTCTGTTGATTTTAAAGTTGAAAATATAATTGTTTTATCAAATTAAAGATCAACATGTTATTTATAACACCTTTATTATATACTTTATTTATACTTCTAGTTTGTTTATACCATTTTTTAATGCTGTATAATGTGGAAATTTGCGATAAATCAAACATCAAAAGTATCGTGGCAGAATCATTACAAACATAAGAAATAAATTCAGGTTGACCTATTTGTATCATGAAAAAAAATGAGAAAAATAGTTCAAACTCACAACAAACAATAATTGACAGGATTTGTTTGTCAGGAACAAATTTAAATTTTAATATATATCATCCCATACACTAAATGTAATTTTGTGTTTTCGCAATTCAATTGTTTTTTCATTAAAGTAAATACCTTCGAAATTTAATTGAAAGAGTTAGAATTTAAAGTTATTTAAAATGAATAAGAGTCATACCATTGGTTTGGTTATAATCTGCATCAAATTTTCCTTCGACGAATCTAAGCATCAAACTCGTTTTGCCAATTTTCGGTTCACTAACCATACCAACCTTGACCACAACACTTTTTAAATGATTTAATTACTTAAGTATATAATGAAGAATATAGTGAAAGAATAATAATCTAATAATCACATACTTATTACTGCTAGGCATAATTAACTGGCGAGCCTAAAAAATATTTGAGAATTTCACAGCAAATATATAAATTTGTTAGCTGAAGCAGTGAAAGATCCTATGAGAGATCCTATAGTCGATTCTTGGAATTGTTCTTAACAAAATAAAACAATCATATCTAAAATGGGTCTTAATGAATAACATGTCATTAATCAGCAATAAACAACAACATATAATCAAACAGCTAAATAACCAACATATCAATACAAATCGCAGAAATTGTCTAACAATGTTTTTTTAATGAACCAAACTGCAAAATAACACAGTATCTGCGCATTTATTTTGAACATACATGCCTTATATGTAGTGCACGTTATTTTGGAAGCACAGGCGTTATTTTGAAATTATTTATTCAAATCTAATTAATGAATGACTAATAAGCGTTTAAGTTTCAGCCTAACCAAAATTTTGATTATATAAGTATACTTATGTATCTGTAAAACATAATTTTAGGATTGCTCGTGCCCTGATACTAAAATGAGCTAGGGAAATATCGAAATATGGTAATTTTTTATTGCCTAAAGCAATTGAAAACCCCCCTTGTACGTAGTCGATTCTTGGAATTCTATATTTTGGATTTTCTTGTGCTGATCAGCAGTATAGTATGAAAAAACTACCTTGGTTTTTTGGTTGTATGAAAATATTCATTCTCATCAATTTATGACAAAAACAACAATTCTATTGTTGATTTCATTTACAGTTAAGCACGTAGTGATTTTCTCTGAACTGAGTGATACAGACATATTAGTTAAAAACAAGTACCCCTAAAAAATTGATAAGACAGTGTTTTATAATTTCTGTAATATGGGCTAAATTTTCCTCTCCCCGATAAAGGTCAACTGAGTGAAGACTGGATTTTTTCGGCTCCTGCAAAGAAAAAATCTGATATTTATTCCCTCAGAACAAGGAATAAAGATGTCTTGTGCTGATCAGCAGTATAGTATGAAAAACTACCTTTGTTTTTAGTTGTATGTAAATGTTCATTCTCATCAATTTATGACAAAAATAACAATTCTATTGTTGATTTCATTTACAGTTTAAGTACGTAGTCTAAGTGATACGGATATACAAACGTATGCATGTTAAACCAAACTTGATAAAATTTTTTATATTAATTTTTTTAGCAATAGAATTAAAATTAAAAATTTTTTTCAAGTCTGTGATTATATCAAAAATAAATTCAATACAAGTTTGTTGGAGCTAAACCTTTGAAGAATTAGTTAATGTCTTAATAATGACGTATTGTATTCAAACTTGACTGTTTTTTATTTGAATTAAGATTTACAGTATTCAATTGAAATTCAGGTTTAATAAATTTACTCTTTGAATTGGATCACTAGATGGCTAGCAAAATTAAATTTTAAGTTCTAGACTTATTTTTTTTTATAACATATTAATTGGATTGATGAAATAAAATCATAACCACATATACATCAGTAACTAAAAGAGAAAACCCTAAAATTTTTTATTTACAATGTTAATAATTGTTAAAAGACCTTGACTATTTTTTTAAAAATTAAGGTTCAATTATAAAGTTTAAAATTTATCTGACCAAATTCATCAATAAAAAACTCAGGAGTAATGTCAGTAGAAATAATTTGATCAATAGTCATGGAGATAGATGAATTAAAGAAATCTGTTTGAATAAATGATGGATGTTGAGAATCGTATGATGCATCAGATGCATTATTTGAGCAATTTGAGGAAACTGGTTGGGGAAGTGGTGATGAAGATATTTTTAAATTCGACAAAGCAGATTCGGCTATTAGAGTAATGTTTTCATTGGTTAAATTACTTTTATTATTGGGAAAGTCTTTTAATCTTTGTGAATGTCTGCGTGGCTTATTCTTATTTGGACGATATTCATAGTTGGGATATAACCGTTTATGTTCAAGCTTCTTTTTATCTGCAAGTTTTCAAATTGAAACTTCATGTCCTTAGATTGAATTCTCCACATTTTAGATGCAACCTTGGAGATATTGGCATTGGACAAGTTTATATTTGATTCCTTTAGAAAAGAATTTATGTACATCCTATATGGATAAAAGCATTTGGAGAACGTGGAGGACATGGAACAGTTTTTTGGTTTGTCTTTTTTTTTGGTTCTTTTTGTTTTTTCGAAATGAGAGACGAATCCAATGTCGAAATTGGACTTTGTTTAACCATAAACATGCAACATTGGTTTTTAAAATACTCACTAATTATTGTAAATCGTAAGAATAAGACTTGAATGTTAAAGAGAGAGCAATAAATTGACACCCATTAAATACGAAAAATGTAGTTAAAAATTAAAAATGCAAAACAGATTTTTTAAGGATTCATTAGAGTTACTCATTATAATTATATAAAACTAATTATAATTATACCTTGATTAGTAAACTAATTATCGATATTGTGATCTATATTAATATAACTGATTGGCATTGAAACCTATTATTAATTTATCAAGACCAACGAGGTCTTGAACAAAATTTATAACTAGGTTAATTATTGTTTTAATGTACAGTTGATCGTAAGGATTTTTCTTCTTTTGACAGAAGCTTAAAATTTATTTTTACAATGAAATTTCATTATATTTTGGGATTAAAGATTGACGATAAAACATATATTTGACCTACCAGTATTTAGTTTTAATGATAGACGTGTTTCAATTAATTCAATTTTGATTTGGTTGGATTAGTGTTAGTGAAACCTAATTACATAATATAAATAATCTATGGGTTACTTTTTAATCTATGGATATCCATCTGTTTAAAATAACCTGAACATTATCAGTTTAATATTCAGTTCACATCTCTAAGTGATGTTGAACTGTAAATTACACATAATATAATATTCTAAGGGTTCTTTTAAATCTATGGATTAGAGTGTCCAGATTATGCAGTTTCGACAATCTACAATAGAAAAATCGTTGAAACTAATCTGGACTCTAGTCATAAAGTAACCTGTAGATTATCTGTCAAAATAGTATTCATATACATATTGAGTAATGACCATTATCAAATTAAATACAGATTCGTTACATTGAATTACATTCACGATAAATCAAGTTACATCAAATTCTAAA